TGGACACCCCCTGTCTCTGCAACAGAGTCTGCCAACCAGAAGCTCCTGATGGATTCCCCATTGCCTAAATTCCCTTTTTTGCTTTTGACAAGCATTTCAGCCTTCTTGGGTCACAAACTTTGTCCCAAAGTCAACAGGAATAAATAAGTAGCATGGGAAAGAATATGTTCCTGCTGTTTGATTTTCCCTGGTTGAAATGCTAATTCAGAAGGAACTCCCTTGCATGGGGATGCCATTATCTCTCACTCCCTTATGGGGACGCTGGAGAGACAGCAATTCCATGATTGGAATCTCAAAAAAAAAAAAAAATGGGGGAATGAAGGGACCAGCTCCCCATTTCGGCAGCCATAACTGCCGAACACTTACTTGTCTGACCTTGCCTTGGTCACTAGGAGGTCAGATGCCTGCCTCATGGCAAGGTACCAATCAGAAGTTAACTAGTGGTACTATGCTTTACGGCCCTGGGTGTGCTTTATGGACAAGTGCACAGCAATGGCATGCAGAGCTTTACTACCCTGGGAGGGCCTATGGGCCATAACAACCAGTTGACCAATCAACACAGGGCAAACCCTCCAAGCCTGGAGGCACAGCAATCCTGAGCCTGTGCATACCCCTAGACACTCCCCTTATACTGCCCTATAAGATCTCTATGCAGATGCTTTGCAGGATCTTTCTAACCATCTGCCATGGTGGGTGGGTGAAAGACCTGAGCTAACATGGGGTTAGCTCGTTAAACAACTACAATAAAGCTTCGTGCTGTTTGCATCAAGTTTCTGCCTCTGCATGGTGATTAGGGTGGCCATGTTCCTGGACCAAGATCCTGGCAGCCTGAGCCTTCTGGGGGTCTTTCATTGCAAGCCACCCAAAGTGGGTACAGGGAACTGAACTTGGGTCCTCTGTAAGAGCAGTGGGTACTCTTAACCACTGTACCCTTTAAGCGTTTCTTAATCCAATCAAGATTACAATGGATATTAACTGCTGTGAAGAGATATCTGTGAGCATAAAAGTTATGTTTTAAGTTTTAATTACTGTGCTTAAGAGTTCTATTTAAAAAAAAAAATGCCTCTAGTCTATAAGCTCCAGTTGCCCAAGGACATTTAACTTCCTGGGATGCTGGGGGCTATTGTTTATATAACTAGCCATGTGTGTTCATTTATGTAAACAAGGTTGGTTGTCCCAACTGCACAGGATGTGCTCGGTCACACGTAGGTGGGAGGCACATGGATGGAAAGTATGTCCGGATGTATGCTTGCCCTTAATTGGACAAATGTAGGAAGTGTGTAGCCTTGTGGCTTTTGCCTTTATAAACCCCTGTCTTACGTAATTCGGTGCCATTCTCAGGCAATCCCAGGTATGGACCTAGCCAGGGTCTGTTATCCTGGTCGGTATTTAATAAAGCTTGCTTCAAATTTGGCTCAAAAATTGTGGTAGTGGTCTTATTCTTGCCCAGGGAATTAGTACATCAATGAAGGGATGACATGTTTTAGCTTTCTTAGCCCTAATTCTCTAGATGAAGGTGAGAAAGGTTTACTTGCCCAGAGACAAAGTCAACACCTCTACTCCCCGCTGCCTCTTTCCAAACCAGGAATTGCTAGCCTGAAACTTCCTTCTGATTTTCTCAACCACTTTCCAAGTTTGTGAAGATAAGTGGAATGAATACATTATTGGTTCTTAGGAAATCGGCTTCAGAGATAATCCAAACAAAAACCCGCAGAGTTGTGATCTTCCATTTGAGTCCTTCAGGGAGCCAGCATTTGATAGGCAAATGAAGCTTCCGGGTGGGCACCATGCCTCAGGCGCACAGGCAGCTGTTCTGGCTCGGGTAACTGGTTTATTCAAATCATCTATTTCTATTATTGCCAGTGATCTGGCCTTACTCTGACAGACACATTTTCAGTAAATCTGGGAGAGAAATATATTCTTGTTACACCACTATGTCACTTTAACACTTCACCTATCACGAGGTCTCTTTGTTCCATTCTTTCTTGGTGCTCTGAGTTCTTAAATGGTTTGTGAGGGGGAGAGGGGAGGGGACCTCATTCCCCAAGCCCAGTGTGCTCATTGCCACTGTGCTCAGTGTTGTTTGCAGGCTCCTGGCTATCTCTCAACCATTTTCATTCACTTTCACTGTGGTTCGCTTTCTGTCGCTCCTTATCTTACCCTTCCTTCCCTCGGCTGACGGCTGTCTCTATACACTCAGCCAGTGGCTGGGGAGCAGCCACTCTGACGGATACAGTGAACACCAAAGTGAGTTAAGATACTGTCCCTGTCCCTCAGTGGTTAACAAAGTACAGGGACCAACAGACCAAGTCACCAGTGCAGTTAAAGCCTTGTTTACCTAGTTCCCACTGAGCTGTTGACAGCTGTTTCTGGTGGGCCCACACTGAGCTCACTGAGGACATTTCTGGCCATTGTCCCACCACCTAGCTTTCCCCTTTAACAGATAGCCTCACTGTCCATTCAGTTCTACACCTGAACCCAGGAGCCAGATTCCTCCCTTTCCTCTTACCTATGGGTCACCTGGTCTCATCCATTCTGTGTCCTTATCACTGAGCTCAGGTGCACCCATATCCCCTCTGCTATGATTTTTACAGTTGCCTCATGAACTAGTTTCTATGACTTTCCTTTATGCTCTTTCAGTCTATATCCCAGAAGCTACTGACATTGGTTTAAAAACTCCAACTTGTCTTAGGGGCACACTTCTTAACCTCCTTAAGTAGTCTTTGCTTCCTAGTAAGGGTCCCAATGTCCCCTGGCATGTGGGTACCCTCCACTCAGGGTCCTTGGTCTTCCTTGCTTCTCCTTTCTTGCCCTGTAGAATTAACTGCATGGAGGTTCTTGAACATTCATGGATGTGGCTGTTGTTTTTCCTCTCTCTCTCTCTCTCTCTGAGTGTGTGTGTGGGGGCAGGAAAGGGTTGGGGGTTGGAGACAACAGACCCTAGTTTCTCTTTTTTTTAGTACCACTGCCTCGATTCTCTCAGACTATGTCTCTTTTCAGGGACCTGGCCCTGATCATCTACATCTAGCCGTCAATAGAAGATGACAGTCTGTACCAGGTATAGGCTCCACTAGGGAGGGTGTAGGACACCATCTAGAGTGGAGAGAGTCTGGAAAGGCTTACCTCCACATCTGAGGCTTATTTGAAGAAAGACTAAGACTCTTGGTCAAATCCCACTGGGTTCTCAATCTTGTGTTCCTGTGTGGAGGCTGAATTGTGGAGGCTGAAACTACATACCCAGCCTGTGACCCTCCCTTGCAGAGAGCTCAGTGGGGCCCTCTAGTGGTGAGCTCCCCCAATTCTCCAAGCCACAGCTTTGCTCAGAGGCCTTCTAGAG